CCCCCCCCCTCTCGCTATGGGTCATGCCTACGCAAAACCTTGCAGAGGCAGCGAGGGGAAGAAAGAAACGACTGTACATAAGGCCGAACAAAAGGACCCTGACAGCAATGATCAAACCCGAAAAAGTGGGAACACACAAGCTAACGAATCAATGGATCGTTAACAGAAGGGAAAGTCTGTACCCGAGAGAATAAAAACAAGATTAGAGGGCATACAAGAAGAAGGTTCCGAAAACGAAGCGGTTGATGCATCCAATCCAAGTAAGGGATCTAAAACTCCCGCAGAAAATGCTATAATAGGAGGAGCCCCAGGGACAAGGCGGAGAAAAACAGTTTGTAGTAGAAGTAGAACGCTATGATCGTGCTGACACATGATGGGTTGAAACAGCGGTAAAACAGCAGGCGGTGCGAAAGCTGCGGATAGGTGATGGTAGGGTATTTCCTACGCTCCTTACAGCAGCATTCCGTTGAGCTCTCGCTGCTAGAGTACATTGCCACATATCTATTCGAACAAAGATACTTGAGCCCTATGTGGGTGCCGAAAACAAATGCTCCGCGTCCCCACCGCAGTACGGCTGTGCTTCAATTAACGATTGCTGGCGCAGCAGTAGGAGCTCTGCACCAGCTGCTGCTGTCCAGTGAGCAGTATTGGTGGTGATGTTCCTTTGCTTGAATGCTTCAATTTGTTGCTGAGTTTTTCGCGGCCTGTTCGCTTTGTCTGCGGCCAAAAGTGGTGGCGTGCACCAGGGATAGCCCATAAATAGCAAAGCATACGGGGCCAACTATCGTAGTGGGGTGTCAAGAAGCTCTCACCGCACGCCGCGTCTTGGTGAGGTCGTATATCTGGAGGTCACTCTGGAATCCTGCGAATGACGAGTAGCTGGGGGCTGGCATGAACACCTTGGTGAGGCTCCGCTTCTTGCCTTCCGGGCGATATCCGCGGAGATCGATGCTCTTGGTGCGGGGCATGCTGCTGTTCTTGCCTCTGGTGCGTGTAGATCGTGTCTGGATGCCTGGGAAATCCCTGGTTTCAAGATCTCGTGTCCACAAGCAAGCGGTGTGAGAAATGGGGCCTGGCTGCTGCTGTTGAGCAATCTGGTCACCGTACACCGCACACCGTACGCCGTACACCGTACACCGTACAGCAGCACAGATGCGGCAGAATTTGATTGCGCCGCATTGGGACGACGCCATTTACCCGAGCACCCGAGCATGCAGTTCTACTGCCTGTATGTATGTAGTCTACCCGTTACCGACACGGGGAGATCATGAGCACAGCACCCAACGACAGCAGCAGCACCCGTTCTCACATCTCGCACCCGCTTGCTTGTGCATACAGGATCTTGAGACCAGCAGGGATTGCACAGATATCCAGACCCGATCTACACGCACCAGAAACAAGGACAACAGCAGCAAGCAAGCATGCTCAGCGAATATCGCGCGGACGCCAACAAGCGGAGCCTCACCGAGGAATACCTGCCGCCCAGCGACTCATCATTGGCAGGGTTGGAGTGCGACCTCGGCACGTACGACCTGACCAAGACGCGCCGTACGGTGAGAGTTTCTTGACACCCCACTACAAGTAGTTGGCCGTGTGTATTGCTGGTGTGTAGCCACAGGCGCTCGGTGTTAAACTTGATTGACCACACCTGCTCATGTCAAATTTTGGTTCCGGTTGGCGCACCGGATCGCAGAAAAAGCACAGCAAGCGAGATAACCTTTTCCCCGTTATTTGGGGTTGAGAGCGGTGTGCGAAGGGTGTCAAACCCTCAGGTCTTACGGCGCAGGGCTATACGGCGTGGCGCGATCTTCGGAATGTTGCGATCTCACCTTCCGTGCCTCCTCACTTCGCCAAAATCATTCCATGTTCTCGCCTTTGCCGGTAAAACATCTTTTGATTCGGTCTTGTGTAGATCCGTTTTCTCTGCGTCGGTTATCGATGTAAACGGGCAATCTGTCGTGGTGGATCTTCCATAAGCTGCTGCTGTTGGCGTCGTCCGTGCGCCCCACGTTCCCATCTTGTAGGGTTCATCATGCCTTCACATCCGCCGGCAAGCAATCGTACCTAACCACAAACATACTGATGTTGTATGCGCGCAAATCCGTTAGTTCGTGCGCATACAAGAACACAGGGAACGTACGCATTGCACCCTGTGATCCGTTCATTTTATTGTTTCGTATGCTGCTGCTGTGGACCTTTGGTGCAGCCGCTGAGTGTACCTTTGAACCGCCCGTCGTATTTAGCTATTGAGAGAATATTCAACGCAAAAGCAACAACGTGTGTGGACGTCGGGACGGAGGAACGGAGAGCGTGCGTTGTTGTTGCCTCTGTCTGAGGCACAGCAGTACTTCATTCTGCAGCGAACACGAATGCACCGGCGTCATTCTGCCTGCACGCACACGTCATCTGCAAGATGGAGCACCTACATACGTAAAGCAGCAGCTTGTATCACTCACAGCGCGCAAACACCCGCTCCCTGTTTTCCGCCGCTCCCAACACTGCTGCCGTTCTTGATTCAGGAGTTCGGGAGCGGCATCACCTCCGGAACCTGCGCGTACAGCGCTCCATCGAAGCCCCACGCCCCGGACCCTCTTCACGCCCGCGGCGCTCAAGGCCATGAAACAGGAGGTGCCGGTCCTCCACAAGCCCTCCTACGACGCAGGCCTCGATCTTCGTCTCAAGAAGGCACAGGACCACGATATCGACATGCGCGCTGCTTGGGACGCCGCCGACCGGAAGCTGCACGAGGCCGAAAAGCGGGCGGTCATCCCCGCCTCCGACCTTCTCCATGGTACTTCTCGCGGCCTGAAGCTGCAAGATCTCTACAAAGAGCAGCAGACGAACGCCGCCGAGAAGGCCAAGGTCGTGGAAGAGGCGGGTGCAACCACTCTCGACCTCCAGCGGAAGCTGGCCGAGTCCCGTGCGCACGCGGACGCCGCAGAGGCCAAGAAGGACGCCCTTCTCCGCCGCCTCTCGCACGAATCGTCCCTCGACTGCCCCCCGCACGACGACGTCGAGCTGACCAAACTCCTGGATGAGCTTGAGACGTGCCTCAAGAAGGTCAACGGGCTTCGGGCGCAGTGGCACAGATACCTTCGCGTGCTCGAGTGGCACTACACCGGCGACCTCGACTACGTGAGCTCGTCCCTCCAGAGCTTGGCATCCTCGGACGGTCTCTTGCCGCCCCACGTCCTGGCTGTGCTGTCTGCGGAAGACGCCAAGTGCGCCCAGGACACGGGCAGGGCCCGGGCGGCAGAGCTGCACCTCTCTGCGGAGGACAGGTACCGGGGAATAGTGGACGAGGTAGGCACTCTGACTCCGTGCCTCGGCACCAGACCATCGATCGAAGCGCGCGAACTGGGTCTGGCCGAGGAAAAACTGGTGAGGGTATCGGCGATGGTGTCGGCGTTCAACCTGTTCCGCACTGCAGAGACGTACAAGAAGATGGATGCGCAGCGAGCCTGTAACGAGGACAACCAGGCCATGTCCGACGTTTCGCAGTGCGAGGAGCTCCTTGCGGAAGCGGAGGTGCACGAGCAGGGGGCTCTGGTGAGTGTCATGGGTTTCTTGCTTGTCTGTGCGCGCCAGCAGTACTGACTAACATTCGTGCGCACCTTGTTTACGAAGGAGTACAATGAACGTCGTCGCATTCCCTTTTGCCGTGCCCCGTCCAAACCAACAAGGAAATGCTGTAAATAGTCCGTTGTTCCACACGAGCAAGGGCAACAAACCCAAATGATTTGCAACTGGTGCCTGCGCAAATTGTAAAGTACCCGCGCCTGTCTCCGCCTTGCATGTTGGCGTTTCGTCCCTCTTCTCCTTCACTTCACTTCAGGCTGACCAGAAGGAGGCCGAGCAGGCCGCGTCCGAGACGCTGCAGGACACCGAGAAGGTCGGGGCCGAGATGAGCGACGTCGAGAAGCGGTTTGTCGACACTGCCGACGACGACAAGGCCATCAAGGAACTCGTGGCCGAGCCCCGAGAAGCCTGGGACGAGGCCATGTTGACGGTGGCTCGCACCAAGCAACACTTCAATGACTCAACAGTGTTGCGGACAGGATGCGTGTGGCCGTGATGGTTTATTGTCGTGTTTCTCGCTCTATTGCTGGTTGTAATTGCTGCTTGATTAGTCTAGTCGCCATGATACTTGTGTTAATCGATTTGATCGGTTCAAAACAAACCAATGAATCAAGTGCAACGATAGGTTCTCAACAGGAATCAGAAGCTGTTGGCGCTGCTGTTACACAGCTCACAGTCGTCTGCGGTCAACGACCGGGTGTTTTACAACGTTCCAACAGTGTATTTTTCTGATGTTCGTGGGCACGTGACTGACTAATAGTTTGTAGTTTTATACTTGATTGCCTGCAGTCTTTGGGCAAGATATGAGTTTTTCAGGTCGCCGTGGTATTAAGGCGGGCAGGTGGACGTGCCCTTGATCGTCACCGAACTCTAGCACAAGCCCTCAAGTTTGTCTGTAGTCCCTTTTTGTTTCCTGCTTATTTATGAGATCCCATGGACTGTTATGTACCAGTAGGTGTTGCAGTATTCTTTGGAGGTGGGTGGGGTGCGGGGGGTGACCGCGAGGAGGATACCAGGGTATCACGTCGCACCAAGACAAAAGAAGATATGACAAAGTGGGAGGACCCGATTTGGAGGGTATCCGTCGATTGACTTTCACCAGAATTGGTACTCCTTCGCACGTTGCTGTTACATCGACAAACAATTGGGTTAGTTTTTATGACATCAGTAGACTGCTGTAGTGATGATTTCTTTACCAATGACGACTTTTTTTGCCGTGAAGAATGGTGGACAACAGACTAGGTCTCGAAGGAGCTGGCAGCCTCAAAAATACATGACTACTACTGTAGAGCTGTTGCTGCACTGTTGTTGTGATGTCGCACCTTCATGTAGCACGTGGTAACCACACCCGTGTACTATCGTTCGAAGCCGGTGAGAAGGGTGTCTCTGCCTCTGCGTTACTCTAGTCATACCACGATGGTTCTTCCGGTTGCTTCGCCTCAAAATTATTTGGCTCGTGGATTAAATTAGATGTCGAAATGTATGTGTGTTTCTACAGTCTGAAAAAATGCAAGGGTTCTTGTACAGTGACGCGCCATGGAATGTATTGGAGGTGTTGTATTACGATTAATAACAACAGACTTGCGCATGGGGGCGTGTTTTCATGCGCATCCCTCCCTCCCCTACCTTTCTCGTTGGGCGGCGTGCTCTGCTGCGGCGCATCTTGCTTCACCCTGTTCGTTTGCTTGGGCACGGAAACTCAAGCCTAGAGAGAGGCTTAGAGAGAGAAAAGGTGTCAGTATTCTGATTGATCGATTTTTTCGAATAGAGTTTATATTTTTTTTTCAGATTGGCCAAAAGTCCCTGGTCGACATGACGTGTCATCTACGGCGGGTTCACTTTTTTTCTAGTAGAATCAACATGTTTCAAACTGACCGTGGATGATGGTGCTGTGTTAACTTGTGTGTGATCGATGATGATTGGTCAAGTTTTATATCTATCCCCTGTTGTTGTTGGTTGCGTGAGTACGAACACAGACCAAAAACCAACTGCTGTAGCATACACTGAAATACTACATACATACCTGGTAGTCTACAGCAGAAGAAGTCGGGTATAGAGCCCCTGTGCGAATCTCCACCATCATCATGAAAATTCTATAACACAACAGAGACGACGGTCACCGAGCTACACACGTACAAACCATTCCTACAACCATGTGCACTTCTGCTGTAACTATATGGTTCGACTTTTACTGCTGTAGCATGTGTGTGCAGCAGTACCTCTCTCTGTCCATCCTGCTTGAACCGGTACGCTTCATTCGACGTCTCGACGCATAGAACAACGGCCTCTGGATCTAATCAATACCACGAGCTATCTCTCTGTATTACTTGGAGGATATGAGGAATTTTTGCTAATGTAATTTGCGCCGCCTTTATTTCAACTCATCCACACCCCACACCCCCCCTGCCTCCATATTGATAGAACTCCACCCTGCTTCTGTGGTGCAATCGGGCCGCTTTTCTTGGAACTGTGGAATTACCGGGTAACTACGGTTAATAGTGTGGTATGGGACAGGGCTGGTGTAAACTGAGTGCAGCCAAGCGTACTACTTGGAAAGAGAGCAGGTGCAAAAGAGCGGGACATGTTTGAAAGGATACTGAACTATCGGGAAGTTGTGAGGCGGATTGGTATATATAAGGGAAATAAGTTGAGAGATTCGACAGGTCTTTTGAGAGGAGGATTGGATAGAATCTTAGATTCTCGGAATGCAAGTATGGACTGTCAGCAGAGTTGTGTTCAGAGTAGGATTTTGAAAAACTGTGGACATGTGTGTGGACGAAGAGACACCCCCAAGTGGTCAGTCTGACCCGCCCGGAGTCTTCTCCCATGTTGTCCCGATATGGTCAGAACTTCTAATAACACGACACTTTGATCGCAGCTCTACTGGACTTAAAACATTACCAGGACAAGAACCTCGGCATTCAACACAAATACGTACGCGGTGGGTAGCGCACCCCGATCCCCCGATACTGGCACCGAAGGAGGGGCTTGTACTGGTCGTCTTGCGCTGTGGTGTGGTGTGGTTGCGATGACCAATACACCGAGGCAAAAAGGTGAGAAAGACAAGGAGGACGAGGGAGGGAAGAGGGACTCACCGAAGGGTCATGGAATGACTTCGAGGAGGAAAACGCGCGATATGACGCGGCGTAGAGTAGAGGGCAGGGAAAAGAGGAGGATGGATGCGAGCACAACTGCTGTGAGCAGAGGGGATGGGGGGAAGGGTACGCTCACACGCTCCCGAGGGGACGCGTGGGGGGTGGAATCGGAGGAGGGTTCGATCGACGTGTCCGAAGAAAGATACAACGGAAAACAGGAAGAAGGGCAAAAAGGAGGAATACAAGATGGGCACAAAGAAGGGAAGACAGATGGGCACAAAGAAGGGAAGACAGAAGGGCACAAAGGAGGAAAGGTTGAACAAGGAGACGGAAGGGGAAAAGGAGGAAACATGGGCAGTGACCCACCCCAGGCGAGTAGGGAGGAGGATATCCATGAGATGGACCGGAGGTTTAGCATAAAGGGGGCGGACCCAAAAGATATGATACAGCAGATGTCTGGGTCTGAAAATAATCCGACGATTTCCGCTCCGTCGATTCCTCCGTATACCAACGTAGCTCCGGTGGCAGCTTCAAACCGATTAGACAATCGCAAGGGTGGCCATTCCTTGTCAAGGCCTCCTACCCTCCTTTCCCCTTGAGTTTCCATTGGAGATACTACCTCTTCCTCCTCAAACTCACTGCTGTTGTTGTCTTGTGGTTCAAGGGCGAGGCGCAAATCCGCTTTTCTTTTCTTTCTCTCCTCTTTTTGTTTCCTTTCTTTTTCTATCCTTTTTCTTTCTTTCGCTTCTGCCACCTCCTGTTCCTGCATGTCCATGGCCAACCCCTCATCATCGAGTTCTTGTTGCA